CAAAGTGCTTGTTCATAGGGGGTCATATGATTGTTGGGGTTTTCTCTGTATATATTATTGTAGGGTGTAAATTACAATATAAAGTGCCTTGAGACAACTGTTGTTGTGATTGGTGCTGTATAAATACAACTGAATTGAACTAAATTGATTGAAACATTAATTAAAGGCAGGACTTCTTTGAGCAGTTTTATAGGAATGGGGTCTAAAAGACACATTGATGGTTTGGAAGAAGTATTTACAAAGTTAACTCAGAAAGATCAATTGGAGAAAAGACTCTAAATGAGTATCAATGGTACTGAAAGTAGCTGTAGATAATGTTACATCTGTGAGATGATTATGAGTCATTTTTTCTCTAATGGTTAAAATCGTATTTGCGAAGAAGTTCATGAAGTCATTACTAGTTAACGTTAAAGGGATGGTTGGCTCAACGGTGCTCTGACTTTTTGTCAGCCTGGCTACAGTGTTGAAGAGAAACCTGGGGTTGTTCTTATTTTCTTCAATCAGTGATGAATAGTAAGATGTTCTGGCTTTGCGGAGGGCTTTCTTATAAAGCAACAAACTATTTCTCCAGGCTAAATGATGAGCTTCTAAATTTGTGACATGCCATTTTCTCTCCAGCTTACGAGTCATCTGCTTTAGGCTACGTGTTTGAGAATTATACCACGGAGTCAAGTACTTCTGATTTAAGGCCTTAGTTTTCACAGGAGCTACAGTATCCAGAGTCGTACGTAGTGAGGAGGTAAAATTATCCTCCTAAGACCCGAACTCTTCCACAGCATGCATTTTTAATTTCTCTTTGATATTTGGGCTGATTGGGACCCAATGAATGTAAAAACAAAGAATCACCAGATTTTTTTTTTTACCTAATTTTTGTTTCTAAGAAAAATCAGAGCCACATATGAGGATATTTGTTTAAAATTTCGATAGAACAGTAGCAGTATAATGTCCTCGTAAGTGGATATCAGGCAGTTTTAGAGCAAAATTGAGTATTTTGGTCTAAATAACCCAAAATGTGATGTCCACATATGTGGAAGCCAGGTCCTAGGAGGTTAATAACAAGATGATCGACCTCTGTCGGAGTAGCGTTCAGGTAGCTGCTCTGCTCTGTGTTGGTACAGGGCATTGAAGATGATAACAGTGGGTGTGTGGAGGTAAACACAGACGACACGAGAGCTCTCGATTAACACTGCTGGTTTATTACTCATCACCACACAACTGAATACTTTTCCCTCCAAAACACAGCAACAACACTTCCTGAGAACTGGGTGTGAGTGGAGCCCTCCAGTGGTCCGCCACAGGTGGATTATATTCTTAAACTTAGTTACAGCACTTTCAGAAAGTCATCTACTGTGATGAAGTCTACTCTCCACTGCTGTGTAATCAATTATTGTAAATGTAAATGTTATCAGGAAATGTTTAGGGTAAGGAAATGATAAGGACAGACTGATGGAAAGTCTCTGGACCCTGCTGTTCAAAGATGGACCAGTCTGTGAGATCAAGACAGTCCTATAGTTGGAGAAGAACATCATCTGCTTCATGTCACCATACACATGGTTGACTGTCCTATCCCCCTGGTAGAATCCTTAACAAGTTGGTGGAATTTCAATCCAAAGTAAAGTCGAGGCTTAGGCCGAGGTTGATGTCTGTTAGTTCCTGATGACTGAAAGTGATCTGTGAGTTGCAGGAAGGAGCAAAGAAAAGGCATGAAAAACCCAAAAAGCTGCACAGTAGTTGGGAGTGCTGTGCTGCTGCATACCTATGTGCTACCGTATGTGCTGCCATCTTGAGGGGGTTTAATACTTTGGCCAGATTTCTAGAAATGAGAGCTGCTCCATCCAAAGTATCCCCTAAGAAGACCAGGTTTCCGCCAGAAACTTTCCCAATTATCTATGAACCCCGCATCGTTTTTTTGGACACCACTCAGACAGCCAGCAATTTAAGGAGAACATGCGGCTAAACATGTCACTCCTGGTCTGATTGGGGAGGGGACCAGAGAAAAATACAGAGTCCCACATTGTTTTGGCAAAGTTACACACCGATTCAATATTGGTTTTAGTGACCTTCGATTGACGTAACCTGGGTGTCATTACAGCCAGTGTGAAAATATAGTTAGGGCTGGACCAGGTGACCCTGAATCCTCCCTTAGTTATGCTGTAATAGACGTAGGCTGCTGGGGGATTCCCATGATGCATTGAGTTTTTCCTTTCCAGTCACCTTTCTCACTCA